TGATGATGATGATGATGATGATGATGATGATGATGATGATGATGATGATGATGATGATGATGATGGTGATGGTGAACTCTTGAGCATGAACGTCAATAGTGAGCCAAGTCTCAGTAAATACAACTATTACTTATGTTCTGTATGATCTTATCCGCCAGTTTGTCACGTTTGCTAATTAGCATACAGTTGTTAGAATTCATGGTTCCTCCTGCTGGCTGGTTTCTCCTTTACCGGTATCCGTCCACTTTCGCTGGTTTTTTGTTCTTCCGGAACCAGCGCCAGGTATCCAACGTAGAGTCACCTGTTTGTCACGTTTGCTAATTAGCATACAGTTGTTAGAATTCATGGTTCCTCCTCCCTGCTGGTTTCTCCTTTACCGGTATCCGTCCACTTTCGCTGGTTTTTTGTTCTTCCGGAACCAGCGCCAGGTATCCAACGTAACTGGAGTCACCTGCAAAGAACCGGAAAAATCCCGCACAGCTGTTGCAAGGAGCTGTGAGACCTTAGCGTATCCCCAGAATGGTGTCATGAGCCACTCTAATAGTTTTCCCTCGTAGCCTATTGGCTACGACAATGAACAGAACTTACCAGAAAAGTCTTTCAAATGCTCCACCATTAGATTTGAATTCATTCTGTGACGAGATTCCACAGTGCTGGGAGTTTTGCCTGCGGCACGTCACTACAGGCGCACCAAAGCACTAGATGTCAGACCAAACAATGACACCACGTAAATCTTGGAGAAATATCCCACCCGAGGCCGAACATAGCTTGCCGCAACTAATCATCAGACGTGAAAGTGAGCGTGAAATCTGGTAGACACGCAAAACCAGAAATATAGAAGAGGCCTAGAAAGCCTAAAATGCCCAAAGATTATTTTAGTTGATCCGTGCCACCGGTAACCGTAAACCATCTGTGAGCGAAACCAGCAAGGATAAGAATGGAATGAGCATTTTGAGTACAGGACGCTTCGACCATTGGGCCGAACTCTTCAAACAGCGATTATCATCGCCACTAGTTGTCACTCATCTGGAACCCACAGATAACACAGAACCTTAGATGGTGAACATGAAAACTTGGACGGTCCCAGAGGTTTATGACTACATATGTTCTCCCAAGTGCCACCAAGCTTCCAGTCCTAATGACCATCGACCCGCATTGTTCAAAGATGGGGGTGAAGTCCGAAGTCACCGCTTGTCTGATCTGCCTGTCAGTATTTTTGGAAAGGAAACCATCAAGACAACTGGGGAGAGTCGTTGACAGTGCTTACTTTAAAATGGGGATCGTACCGAGTGCCGTAACTACACGGGGTCAGCTTGAACCCACTCGTAATGAGACGTTCGGCGTTACTTGTCCTTCGTCGCCATACGGCGGTTCATGAGTCATCATCATCAACGAAAGCATGACATCAGTGTTCAACACCGATGCTTCACTGCCGTACAACCATGACTTATTTGAAAGCCTTATTGTAAAGAAAAGAATAAAGGTGGACGGGGGAGGGACTTAGTGCTAGCTTAACACAATCATTCCGAGGTGCTTACACCTCCACACATTCACTCAGGCAATCTGGACAGAAACTGACAACAAGAACGCCACTGACATCGGTTGGCAGCCATATCTTGTAGTGTCTCCAACCAGGCACAGTGAGGATCACGCGGTCCCCATCCTGGAAGGCGAGTAGCACCGACAGCACCCAAGCGTTTCGTGATCTCCTTCATACTCCTCTGCCAAGTCAAGGGTTGGCCACCTCTCTGTTTACGCCACTCTGAATTGGGCATGGAAAACAGCACTCTCTTCGGCAAACGATGGTTCGGCATACGTAACACACGTCCCAACCAACGCAACTTCTGGTGCTGGACACATTCTTCAATGGAAGTACCCGTTACACAACCGAAAACGCGCTTTCTAACTGCCTCATTACGGATTCGCCGACACCAACCCACGCGAGCTATGGTTCTGAGACAACGACTGTCAAACACCTGAAGACGTCTCAGTTCGAATAAGCTGGCTGGAATAGGGCAAGTCTCACAGCCATACAACAAAACAGCCCGTACTGTAGCTTGGTACACACGTCCCTTCAGATTCAGGGATAAACCATTCTGACGCCATAGGTGTCTCAAGTTAGCAAACGCGGTACGAGCCTTGCAGATTCGTGCATTCACCTCATCTGTCACACTACAGTCAGAACTAATACAACTTCCAAGATACGTAAAACGCTCCACAACTTCCAGTGCCTCTCCCTGGATTGTAAGTGGCGTGTTCAGTGACTGCACGTCCACAAGCATGACCTTACACTTTGTAGGTGCAAAGTGCATACAAATTGTAAGGTCATGCTCAAGTGTTCGCGATTTTTGGATTATCCGTCTTTCGCTGTGTTATGGTAGGGGCTCGCCGTGGCAGTGGTTTGTCTATTGACCGGAGGTGATCTGTTTGCTGCTCAATTCTGCGCAACCGTTCGCGGAAGCTGAGCGCTGTTTGCCCGTGTTTACAATGAACGGGAACAACCTGGTTGGTGTTACTTATAGAACTCAGGGAATCTATCAGAAGCATCTCAACGAGTTTAGATAGTACGGCCATTGGTTCTTGCTAAGTGAATCCAATGCGCCGTTGGGTAGCTGGCTCCACTATCTGTGTAGGCATGGTCAAAATTTCTCCGGTGAGTTGTGAAAGATGCTCCAACCTGCCGCTTTTCCAAGGTGCACGAGCATACGAGAAACATATAGGGTCAACCCGCTACTCTGCACTTTTTGATTTCAGGGCAGTTAGATTTGTCTAGTTCTCCCTATTCACCACCAGGTGAGAGGAGTGATCATAGATTACTTACTTTCGGCTTTGAACGCTGAGAATCAACCACAAACCAGGTGGATGTTTTACTTCATTTTACAAGAAAGGTCGAAATAGCTCAGTGGTTAAACCGCAATTTCCGTGGTTCGAACCCAACCTCAGCATCTCGACTCTAGGCTCGGGCAGTCTGACAATATCTCAGCCCCCGTACTTCCTTCAGGTGGTATGGCAGCTAGGCACCGAGAGGGTTGTACAGCTGAACGATTATTATTGTTATTGTTATTATTACAAGAAGGCAGTGGATAGGAATTATTCAAGAGACGCCCGGAGTTTGTCATTTGGTTGCATTTTCAGAGACATTTAGGTCAACGCAGTCGACTGGTTCCCCACCATATCGAGTTATTTGGCTGTGATACGAGGCTACAGGCCATTTTGTAGACATTTAGGTCAACGCAGTCGACTGGTTATTTGGCTGTGATACGAGGCAACAGGCCATTTTGATTGCAGATCTAGAACCACTCCGGCATCCAGAATACTGATTTTAACTGGCTTAGTCTTTCTGGTTGCTGTTAGGGATCATGTTTTATTTTCATGTTTGTTGCGTACCTTGTTTGGTTTGTGGAGTATATCTTAACATACGTCAATTTCCCTTCCACGGTAGCTCCTCTTGTGAAGTGCTCCAATTGCGAGAACAAAACTCTACATTACGGGAGTTCTTCACTTCGCACAATGTCCGAGGCCACTGAACAAGAGCAAGTCGTCCCAAGACCAAGGCCTGATGCGGTCCCATTGTCTGTCCTGATAGAATTCATCTGTCAAAAAATCTACACCGATCTCATGAGGCTGGTTGATTTGTGAGTTTAATTACTTTCTCGGACTCATTGCAACTCGTTTCAGGCTTCCCAGCAAAACAGACCTTGAAAAAAAGATTGAAATAGCAACCTTTTTCAGTCGAACACGACATTTAATTATACGGCTTGAAGCTCTCATTAAGTGGTCAAACAATGCGTCTAAGGTTGACAAATGTGAAGTGAGTCTCATGTCTTTATCATCTTTACACGCCCATCTGTTTTAGAAAATTTCTAATTTTCTGGAAGAACAAAGTTTTTTTCTAATCAATACAGCCAATACACTTTCGCGACTATTACGGGAAACGCTTGTGGGGGCCAGGTTGCCACCATTTGCTGTTCTGTTGGCGATTGATATTTTCACAAACAGAACATACACTCGTCTACCGAAGTCCATAAAGGTAATCAAAATATGGGCATAAACTTGCTTTTTTCCCCAGAACTGTACAGGAGCAACGGAAACAGTGGGCAATAGAGAGCTGAGCCAAGCATTGCTGGACCTGAACCGCGTGATTCAAAATCGTTTAAGTCTGACGCAAATTCCCAGGCAATTCAAAATAATCAAAATTGGTATGTTGTACGTTGATTTTTCACCCTAATTTTTTTAGTGAATGGCCGTGTCCACTTTGTTGTACCCAATGAGTTTCATGTAAATCCTTGGTTTTTGGTCTGGATTCGTAATATCTACTTTAGGTCACATTGACGCTCATGTCTGAGGCTGTCGATTTTCCATGGCGGATCTTGGACTTGAGGTTTCTCACCAAAGACCCAGTGACCAGTAAGTGTATGAGAAGTTATGCCTCGGTGGCACACAATTACCAGCTTGATTCAGAAGATTAATTCAAATGCTATTCAACGCATGGGGAGCTCAGTGGAGTAATTCCCATGTGAACTCACCCTTCTCATTAGGCGCCAATCACTGCATGTCTCTATTGTCGAATCACGTTACCATGGATTTTCACCCCTTTTCTTCTCCTTGCCACTGCAGATTATCAGAGTCTCCTGCATCCTCTCCAACTTCAGTTCATTCAAACACAAGTGCAATCACGTCTTCTATACCGACAATTCGACAAGCGACCCCCACTCATTCATCTTTACGATATGCTTCGTATCCTTTTCTATTGTCATTATTACCTTATCATTCTCGTGTTTCGTTATTTCGCCCAAAAGGACGTACTAAGAATATTCAGATCTGAACTCTTTGGACCTTATATCCCGATGATCCGAAATCGCTACAACAATATCGTTTTCTTTTGCTGTCACCGGCCCCGTGACTGCAGCCATGGGTTTTGAAAAAACATTGCATCTAACGCACACTCGTTACGGTCTACTCCACTTTTGACGAATCTCCCTGTAAAATCTTCGTGCATCCGGCGCCTAGGGATTTCTCGACTGTTCATGGCGTTATAAACTTACTTGGCAGAAGTCTTCGCCTGTCTTATCTGTTCAAAACGTTATTCTACATGCAGCACCACATCGCCATGAGTGAAGCACTTCACGGTAGTACTTCCATGTTTTTCGTTCCCATAGTGCCGCTTCGAAACGTACATTAACCCGACCTTTGAAGAGATGGGTGTTGTAATGGTTTGGGAATACAGAAACTGCTAGGGAGTTCCCCAAACAGGCTTTTCGGGGGGAAAGAAGAGGGGTAGACAGTCATGCAGTGAGAGATGGCCGGAAGGGACTAGGTAGGTCGTAAGTTTAGGAGACTGAGATAGAAGGAGATGTTGGTTCGGGCAAACATCCGTTGTGGTAACAGTATCATAAAACACGAAAAGCCACATCCTAACGTGGAAGGATTTTTTCAGACCATTGGTCAAAGGAGGTGTAGAAGTTCGTTCTGGATGTAGTCAATTGGGCGAAGATAAGGTGAAAGGGATAAACAGAACAGAGTAGGACGGATGTAAGACCCATAGAGTTGAAGCATTTGGGTATTTTTGGGGGACTTGAGAGCTCGAACTGGGAAAATCTGGAAAAAATACCTAAAACTGAGCCATACAGCCACTATTGTTGTAAATTTTCATCCTCTTACTTACAACTGTTTCTGGTGATTAACAGCTGCTGTCACTATACGGCGCGCAATGTGTGTTTTGTACTTGAAGGATGGGGTCATTGTGAGAACAGTGGTTAACAAGGGATTGAATGTGATAAAATGCACGATTATAGCCGACGATGCCTTTTATTCTCTTTTATCTTCCTTTTAACCTAGGAGTCCACGTGAAACTTCACCAGGTAGCTGACGTTATAACGACCAGTGTGGTGAGATAGTTTCGCTCTGTCCCACTTTTTTGTCTTGAGGCTGCCTATTTTCGTTCGCCTACTGTCTTGCTTGGAACTTATCCATTCGCTTCTCAGATTCATTTAGCATCTCCCTCCAGTTAGATGTACTGCATGAGCAAGCACAGCGTGCTCGGGCCAAGCGACCTTCCGATCAGTTGGTCATCGAAGCGTATCGTCCAGGACACAGTATGGTCCTTTCGTACTGGCACACGCTAAGTCGCAATCAATTTCAAGCCCAGCTTTGTTTGGACGGAAAACTCCAGCCCACAGGTACTTGATAAACTTTGTCAGTTTTCGTTAGCATGGTTGTCCATTCTAGCAGTTTGACCACACAACTGGTTTACTGAGTGAACCAGCTACTTTTCCCCATAAACTGGCGCCCTCGGTGGTTGAATCGTTGAATCTCCCATCTAGCAGGCCCACTGTACAGCTTCCAGAATTTTTAATATTAACCGACAGCTTACGGCGCCCAGCTCAGTCCGACTGAGTTCGGGACCATTCCTCGAGTGATCCCAGGTGTATTGTGCTCTAACTTCATCTCAACGATAATCAGAGAACTTACATATGTGCTTTTTAGTGTCATAAACCTCTCAGTTTGTCTTTCCCCTTCCAGCTTATCTACTCAGTATCCATGCAGATCCAGTCGATCCCCAACGTCCACTTTGTGTGAGTCACCGACCAGAATTACCAGAGACACAGTCCCATCGAATCGGGACCATTTTACAGGTATGTTGTAAGCCATTTGTTCTCACGGTTAGTGGCATTTTTTGTTGGAGTCTGAACCGTATTCCAAAGAGAGTTGTTTTGTTCTGGTAGACACCCTGCACTGCGAACTTACAAACGTGTATAACGTTCTGTTGAGGGGTCAGAATCCGATATCATCATTATACAGGGACTGAATAAAGCGAGCGAAAAACTACTGTTGAATCTGCTCTCTGCGACGACCTCTCTTAAGGAGAGGCCGCCAAAATGAAAACGGTGTCTTACCTCTGCAGTAAATCGGCTTCTCTTGGCAATGAGAAATGTGTTGTAGACCATCTGGGAAGTATTCTTTATTCAGGGATCTTTTTATGAGGAGTTTCAGTACTTTTTGGTGTAAAGTCTCCTTTTGCCTTCCTATCGTTTATCATCTGTTTGGTCTCTTTCCACCATCACAAACCAGAATTATGTCAATGTAGGGCACATAACCAGCACCCCTGCTTGCCGATCTGACTACGAGTTTGCTACCAGAGGTTTTTACTTTTGATTAGCCAGAAACAAGCATTCATTTGCTTGTCGTGGACGGCTACTCGAGTTCAGCAGAAAAGGCTGAGTTCATAGGTTTTAGCAATCTCTCTATTTCAGTATGAGTTTTCTTACACTCTTTTAATAATATTCCCTCGACTTTTGCTCTTGGACATCTTCGGGTTTCTTCACCACAGGAAGATAGTTATATCTATCGTTTTCGTGCACACAAATGTAGCCTGCTATACGACACCGGATATAACACCTGCTATACTCGGTAGATGACGTGAAACGAGTCGTTCGGGTTGACCACGTGACTTGTGTCAATTTTGTAGGACGTGATTGGCCATTTGCCTGAACCGTTAGTCTAGTGGTGCATGGGCAAGAGGAGTGCTCACGTATTATTTTAGAAGGCTGAAGTGTTGTGCGCCAAGCATATTCCGGGACGAGATGGCTCAGTGGTTAGGGCGAATTTACTGACCGGAAGGTCCGTGGTTTGAACCCGACCTCTGCCTCTCCCCTGTGTAGGCTTGGGAAACCTGGCAGTATCCCAGCCGTCGTGCTTCCTTCTGGTGGCATGGAAGTTAGGTACCGAAAGGTTGCTACAGCCGAACGATTTTTACTTATGGGCGGGTGAGATTGTGTGTGCATCTGCTGAATGCTTTGCTACAAGCTGTGGTGTCCGACAAGGATTCCCACGCTCACCATTTTGTTTGGTTTGGTTATTGTTGTGATCATGAGACGAACGCTTGAAGGTCCCCCAAACCCCCGTGTTCAGATGTCTTCGAGCGCACGTACTACTACAAAGGCTGATCTAAGGTCATCCGGTCCCTCGACATGTACTTCGAGCCCACAAAGTGCAAAGTCATACTGCAGAACGTACAGTCTTTGGATTTAAGGAGGCTTCAAGAAGTAGCACTGGAGGTTGTGGAACATTGTTTATATCTGGGAAGTTTCGTTACCCCTGACATGACAGACGCAGGACTGCTAAAGGTGAAAATTGCTTGTGGCCTCNCATCAAAAAGTTATATCACTGAACCTCAAAGAACGCCTGTATCAGACTAGAGTACGGTCTGTATTGTTGTACGCCTACTTCGGACGGAGGATCTGAGGCATCTTCTGTTCTTTGATCCCCAGTGTCTCAGAACTACAGTGAAAATTGACTGAAACTAGTGAATTCGCAATGCGATTATCAGGGGACGGTTTTCGGTGGAGCCGGGGGTACTTCTCTCAAAAACTGCCTGAGTTGCCTGAGTCATGCCATGAATGTCAAATTACCGTTTGCCGGGATGATGATGATCATCATCAGGGGACGGTTTTCGGTGGAGCCGGGGACTTCCTGAGTTGCCTGGATCATGTCATGAATGTCAAATTACCGTCTGTCGGGATAATGATGATAATCATCATCATTTCGTTTATTGATCCAGCTCTCCTTCGGGCAGCATCTGAAAGGACCATTTCGTTGTTCTTTTCGAAACCTGTCGTAACCGTAGTGTTTAAATGCAAGGCATTATTCAACATGCACTGGACTTGCTCTGAACACTCGACTTCTTCGCCACTTATGTGTGGACTGTATAGCGTTTTTGAAGATGTATTCCTTTGACGTCGCTTGCCTCGTCTTTGAAGCTTGATGTGGAAATACCAGCGTCCCGTAGGGCTCACAGCTACGCCATCTGTCTATGCAGCTGGGAGCATAATGAGTGAAATAACCTCCAGATGTTTACCCCCACTCAATCTAAACAGTGACCGCATATTACGGGAAATCACATGCGGAAATGTGAATGTCCCCAGTTCTGTTTCTCCGGACCTTAGCTGTGATCACCACTGTCCGATGGTTTTATTAAAAGTCACCACCATCTCGGTCATATTGTGTTTGTCATCGAATGAGTGAAACCTTCGTCTTATGTAGCATAAGCCTTGGGTACAATATCGCGCACTGTGTTACGTTTTGTTTGCGACAATGACAAGCCGTTTAGAAACAGCGATTTTGGTCGTGTACGTCTATAGTAAGCCCGACACACTTCTTTGTTTTTCTAAACAAAGTCAATTGTGACTTTTTCCTTTCTCCAGAGTCGCCTTCGTTTTGTTGAAAGTTTCTGTTGTAAAAAAATGTATTCAAGCTTTTGTTTGGATACAGTATAATCCGTATATGATGGCCCAATAGGCCTCGATTTGATAATCGGTGACGTATGGTATGCAAATATCAAACAAACAAAGAACAAACCTCATCATACTGATCTGAATCTCATACGCTTATCCAGGTAATATCTACATTTTTGCGCAGTTTGCCAGAAAACACGGCAGTGTATGCAAGAAAGGTCCTCGCAATTTCAGATTTATTCTGAATTTACTGCGGGATTTATAGAATTTATTTTTACATCAGTATCGTCTGAGCAGTCCTTCTCTTGTCCTGGATTCATATCCTAGCACGGTCAAGGATTTACTCGTAAAAGTGCACCTTTGGCCTCTTGCACAAGTAAGTACGTGTGCAAGGTGGCTGTGAATGGCCGTTAGGTTTTGGAAGTAATTTTATTCGTCCAATCCATGAATTACCCATCCGTCCCGGAGCGAGCAACCGGCAGACCATCAATCATACCTGGCACCCGCTTTTGCCCCTTCGCTTTGGTGGAGATACCTCAACTAAAAGAGTGCAATCACTTGAGGATCCCACAGAGGGTCTTATTTCAGCTAGATATGAGGGATGACAGTACTTGTTCTTCAAACACTCAGTTTCGACCATGTGAATCCGGTGCACCGTTGTCTACACCATGCATGCCACCGCGTTTGAGGTACATACATGATACACGGTATAGATTATGCTTTCAAACGTTTCTAACGCATTCGGTTGTCTTTCTCTGACTGCTTTCCTAGTGAAGTGTTGGTGAAAGTACGACCACAGTTCTTCTTGGCCTTCCACCAGTCTACACAGATTTCACACCGTCTAGTGGCCAGACGTCAATAATTCTTACGACTTCCACTGGTGTTCGTTATCCATCAAGGACCTTCTGATAGTCAATGAGCATACTGGCTGTAAAAGTACTGATGATGTGCCGTTGGGCTAGTCTCCCTCCTATCCAGTTTCAGCTCTCGCCAAATTGCCAAGTTGATCTAATTGCCATTCAATTCATTTGAATGCTCCTAGGTGTATTAACTTTTGTTTACCCACCATGAGTCAATTGCTACTTATCTCCACAGCTTCCTTACGAAATGACAGATTGACCCCGAAGTTTTTTACTTTTAGCTGTATAACTGCTTCTTTGATCTATCTTTATCTGCGCATGTTGGAGTTGTGTAAACTGTGTTATTATTATTATTATTATTATTATTATTATTATTATTATTATTATCTGAGTTTCCATCACCATTGTTGTTTCACCTCACAAGTTGTTTTGTTCCTGTTTTTTTTACTTGAAATAAGATCAGGTCCTGGCCGTGCTCTCCCTTAGGCGTCTGACTGAATGGAACGGTTGTTGCCCTCAACATTAGCAAGCGTTTCAGTCTATAAGACGGTTTTAGAGGTACGCACCACTGTATCCAGAGCAATTTTACTGCGTTCTACTTGTCCAAAAACAGAACGTTTTGTCGACTCGCACGTCGATGTTTAGGAACGGTATACTCCTCTGGCTTGCTCTTTGTTAAGCTAAATTGTTAGTGTTTTACTACTGTTCGTCTCCTGCATTGAATCAGATTATCGATTTTTTCGATTATCTCTGAAATTGCGGGTTCTTCTCCATGAGTTAGTGACTACTGTAGCTTATGTATCACTGACTTGGCATGGATTGACATAAATAACTCGTCCCCATGGGTAGGCCACGTGGTCATGTCATAGCATATGAGTTGATTCACTGTTTGCGAGAAATTGACTGAACTAGTGTTCCGTGATTTGGTGGGGAAAGTTTAATTTAAGGCATCCGAGGGTTTATTTGAGTGAGTGTTTTGCTGGCCACCTGTATCGTTGATGTAAGTCGTAGCAAAATCCATCGGAAAACGTTGCCTAACGGTTTTTAAAGTTTCAGTGTGCCAGCGATTATATAGGATGTCTCTGAGTCTTGTGAAGTCTGGTGAACTTTCATGTCATGAATTCATATGGTGAGCTCAGTATACACACGCTGACGATGTACCTCTCGAATATGCTAGGTGAGAATCTCCTGGATTCGCTTCACTATCACAGACGGGGTTGGTAAATTTCGAACTTTTATGAATTGAAAATGCTCTTGGTCAAAGTTTCCCGTCACTGAGACCAACATACAACCGTCAATTCCATATGGTTGTTATCGATTTGACCGCATTTTTTCAAATCTTTCGTGTGGACAACCGAGTCATCCTTCATCTAAGATTTTCTCTTTGCCGTGTTTTCTTTCCTATCAGGGTAACCACTTGTCAATCGAAAAGCTTTTGGCTCGTACTATAATCACTCGTGCAGAACACATCTTGCAGGTGAGTTCCACCATTTCTTATAGGGTTAGCCCATCCATTCACTGTGCTCACTGCCAGTGGCGAGTGCAACTTTTATGCTTTCCGACCCCTTGAAATCCCCTAAAGGCTGGCTAAAGTGTCACTGGGTCAGGCGGGTGCGCATTCAGTGCTCTTGCTTTGCCAAATAGCTCTAAGGTAAATCTCACTGGTTTATACTGACATGAGCTTGCACTAATTTGTCAACAGAATGCTCCTCGCCTAACTCTGGTGTGACTTGAAAGAGTCGACGAAGGAAGCTAGCGTCTTGATGAACCAGTGCTGGTGCTCTTTGTTATATCATCATGTTTAGATCGGTTGATAACTGTTGACAGGATCCTGCATGTTTTTCCGCCGATCTTAATCTCTTGGGTATATTTCGCAACCACCGGTGTCGGGTTGTTTGACTATGCCTACTGACATCCCTCTCGGATGCCAGCTACCCTTCTGAAGTGATATGAAAAGCCCTTCTAGTTCTGTTAAAGTACCCGACTTAACGCACTTGTTATTCTGTTCGGTCACGCTAACTACCGTGTGGTGATTGTCAGTAGTGGTACTTCATGAAATGTACATTTTTCAGCATCCATCTATCCTCGTTTTTTTACAGGACATTCGACAGCAGCTCATGATATTCAGTCCTGGGCCAGTACAGTTATCCGACGCCCCACTGTGCCTTCATTTACCACTTTTATGGCCCTGTTCTCCTCAAGAGTTTCTCCAGTTCCGAGTTGACCCTACACAGGGTACAGTTTGTGCTACATGTCCTTTCCTGCTCACCTCCGAAGTGGATGCCATGCTCTTGGGTTGGTCGGCCCACAGCCAAGTAACTACAGTCTCGGGAGCGTCATCCGATGGATATTCCCGTTTTACTGTATTGTCTGCTCTAGTATCTTTGGAAAATGCCTTGAACAGACCTTCCACGAGACGAGTTTGTCCCGTATCGAGCAATCCCCAAAGTTCCGTAGGTGACCAGTCTTTAGTTGTCGCCCAGTCACGTGGTCTTCGTGCCCTTGCTCATACAGAGGCTCGTTGGCGTTCGATCATCTGTCAGTCGCTGGAGCATTTACGCATCTGTATCGGTTTGGTTCGATTGATCAGGACGGCCAGGACACATCGTCCGTTTTGGCAACCGGCCAGACGGTCACTTCCACTGATCTTATCTCCTGTCCAAGCGAAGCTAGCAAGAGACTCATCGTCGTTCTGGGCTACATTGATTCGGTTGCAACAGTCTTCTATGTGGCCAATCGTATTTGTTCAGCTTTTTCCAAACGACGAATACTATTTGACGTGTGAGGTTGTGTCAAAACCTTTAGGAGTGGATTATCGGTATCATCTTATGGTCTGTACTGCCGTAGCCGATAACTCCGTCATTTCGGTGGACGCAGATGGTCTACTGATCTCGTGTGCGAACTCAAACGTGTCCGCGCCCGCGTTATACCCTACATCGACTGGCCTGTTTCTTCAAGTCACTCATCTTGTTCCCATTGAAACCGGTTCCGTGTGGTTCCATAATCCCTCAGCTTCGGTAAGCCCTCACAAAGCGCGGGCGTGTATTCATTTGTTGAATTAATAACTTCCGATCCATGGAGTTTCATCACTGCGCAGGTATTTCGGTTTTTTGTCCTCCCCGTTAATTTTACGTTCTACGGAATCGGCCATGAAAACCTGAAGTCTTGTAGATGATAAATAGATTTGCATTGCTATGTTCTACGACTGAAGTAGTTGAGCCATATTCAACTGAAATGAACCATTCCATAAATGTACGGTCTGTCTATCTTGTTTGGTCAAACCAAGCATCCTAAAAATTAGACAACAGCGAGTGAGATAAAACCTGGTACGGGACAGTTGGTATTGAGCTCAGAACGAAACTTTCGATAACCCGATTGACTTATTCCGTTGGCACACCGATTTGCGCCATTGACAATACTTTTTTGCTGCATGATGCTCATCAGGTTTCTGTTTTTCACTTTATACTGTTCAGCACCACTGATCTCATTTGTGCAGTTGAAAACTAAGGTGCTTCATTGGCGATATTTTTGGTTTAAGCCTGATAACAACAGGCTTCTTTTGTGCTCTGAGGTCCAGATGTGGCGATCATTTCAAGCTAGAGGCCATCCCCTTTTACTAATCAAAAATTGCAGGTTGCGGTCCGGAGGTGGTTGAAACGGACAAAGGGCAACCCATCATTTGAGTTTAAAAGCACAACTTTGCGTAACCTCTCGTAGTTGTGGAAAGTCCTTTAGTTGTTGTTCAGCCTTGGGCTACATCCTGGAACTACACATGTTTCTCCAAAGCTGTTTTACCATCTTCGTGTAAACATGCGGTTTTGAATGACGCATCGCATTTTAGTGACATCCTGTGCTCTTTGAAGTATAACTAACGCCTACTATTGTCAGGGTCACACAACCCCCGTCTATTAGGCTCGCATGCTGCACAGAGCATTCCCTGTTAACTTTCACAGAAAACATCATCAGATCAGCAATCTACGGAAAGTGGTCTTAGGTAAGCGGAATTGACACGTGACCGTGTGCTGGTGTCAATGCATATAGAATCAGGGGGTGGAAATCCCAACCCGACCAAAGTCCCTATCCCCCTATCGTAGCACTAGTTCAAGGGGGATCATCACGGGAACCGAATCGGATAAACTAGACCCTAGGATAAACCCAACTTCATGTAGGTTTCCCCATCGGCCTAACACTTGGTCACCCACCCTAACTCACAAAATCCCTTGGTCGACACCTAACAAAGATTTAGCTTAGCCTAGCTGACTGGTTCTGCTTCCGCCCTAAGTCTCGACCAACCTCGTAACCTAGTCACTTGGGGTGACGAAGCTTTTGTGTCAAAAGTGAAACGTTGTCTAGCAATAAATCTACCGATTGTTACCAACCTTTTCCGAAATAGACGAGCAATCTGTTATTACCTCAAATTTGAACACTCGGCAAAATATCTTCAATGTAACCCCTGGGTTTTCTAAGTTCTATATTAGGATTATCAATTGGGAACTCAGTGCACGGATAGGTGCATTCGGGAAATGGCCCAGGGATATAATGCGCAAATTAGTTTGACTTTAAGTATGCAAAAACTGCACACATCAGTCGGAACTTCTTACAGAAGACTCGTACTTATTATGGGGTAAAATATTTCGGAAGTCTATAGGCCGACAAAAATTTACTGAGTTGAAAACACCATCTTTTAAATAGTACCAATGCGTTGTGGCTCTAATGCATTGAATAACACCTATCAAGAACCGGCCATCCTCTTATTCATCACAAAGAGCTCGGATGCAGTCATCATATTGGGAGATTTCATGTGTGACGCCTGTGTTCATCGGAAACACACTTTGGTTAAATATTCAGTCTGAATGCAAAATGTAATCAAAATGGTGAACGTTGTTTGCAACTTTGTACTGATCACTAGTTGTTTCCGAGCAGCAGTGGGTTCGGACGCAGTGAGCGCCGCTGTGCTAGTGTTAATGAAATTTTATAACCATAATATAACTCAGAAAGTATGTGTTTTTCATCTTCATATTGTGAATAACGTCTTCAAGATTTCCTATCTCCTTGTGCTTCTCAGAATGAAATGCTTGAGTTCATGTATCTTGGCAGCTTTTTTGGTGTCGATTGTAATACACTGGATGAAGTCCATGAGCGCGTAACAAAGGAGCGGGCAGTGTTGGTCGACTTGTTTCGCTTATGTAGTCAGAGACGAATTTCGTTGAAGCCATGTATACAGGGCAACTGTAAAAGTGATCTTGCTTTGTTTTTGTAAATCCTGGCCCCTGTGCTTCGAGGACCTTGGGCGTCTTCAGACTTTTATCCACCGGTATCTTTGTAGTACTGCAAGATTTTGGGGGGGTGCTGTAGCGATTGTGCAACAAAACGGCGCGTAAGCGGACATGATGTAATGAATCACAGTTGTTAGAGCAGGAGGCGAGGCTCGCCATTTTGGGATGGCTGGGGCGTCTATTACGAATGCCCAGCCGCAGTATACCCAAGAAAGTGTTGTTTTTCTGCTCCAAGCGACTTTTGGCTAAGTGTTTTTGGCAAGGAAGGGAGGGGTAAGACGATGAGATGGTAACGTAAAATGGGAGCGGCTACGGGCAAAGTAAATGTTGTGGAATTTTTGCGCCTTGTTGGGGCTCACGTAGTCCATGCTTACTGTCATTTTCTAACCGGAATATCGAACTAAAGTTCGCCTGTCGTGTGCCGCGCGTATGACGGGTGAGATTCTCAAAGGACTCTAGGTCGATCCCACTGCTGGCGCCTTTATTCGATATGATGTTCAGATTTCCTCACTTTGATGCTGTCCAAAAGTGTGGGCACCTTATTCCTGACCATCTTCTGTAGGGTCATAAAGCTTCTTCGCGCCGGGTCGCTACGTGTCCCTTTTCTTTTCATCACTTACTAATGCTTTTTCCCTCATGGTTATAAGACAGCTAGGAGCCTGTGTATATCTTTCGTTTATTACCGTCAATGACGATAATGATGGCTGTAAAAAATAAAAATACGGTAAGATGAATTTTTTAGGGTCTAAGCTGAACCTTTTTCGGAGGAATCCTCGTGTTGATCTGCGCGCATTCGCTCTTCTTGTAGATTGGTCTACTCAAGTCGTGCGCTGATAAAGCTCGAGAAAATGCTTTAAAAAAACGGTCATCACGTGTGGCTGAATTGTTAAATCGCATAAAAACGCGTTCTGTCCAGTCTGTTGAGTCTTCTGCGCACCCGGTCGAATCCACCACGGAGAACACGCAGCCGGTAGTACCAGCACTTAGCAAACTCGTTGGAATGCTGGAGGAGAATATTCTCAGTACTTGCTTTGCATTAGAGGTGAGGCCGTCTTTTTTCTCATGCAGTGCTTTCCAAAACAAAATGCTGTCATCCCAGTATAATTATGTGATTTCTGGTTGTTCCGTTATCCTTCATATTAAAACGCACATCGTTGTACCATCTATCCCATAGCAATTGCCTAAACATACACCATAACCTAGGTCTACGGATGTTCTGGACTATACCACTGTAGAACCCCCCTCCCCCGAGTTTGAATGCATCCGGCGTCCAAAGTGCCACCTGGCTTTCGAGATGGCACTGCGTCAGTCGTCAGATGTACTGTGGGTCACGCATCGACCCCATGGTAGTTTATAACTGACTCCCTTCACGACTGTATGGTCGCGCAAGTCAGCCGTAAGAGATGGAACGTTCCTTCTCAAGTACAATCTTCTGCCCGATGCTTTATTCTAAAACCTTTATGGAGGTTAAGTTCTGCACCTTCCTCGTGTTTCTTCTGCTTTCTGATGGTATGCTTACCGGGTTACTAACCTGGACGTCAGCCGGACCACTGAATTCCTCGCCGAATCCGCCAGTCATATTCGATGATTAACCCGGATAGACGAAATCCATACACACTGGGATGAGCCAAGGCAAATGGATAAAGTCACCTAGGTCGGTGCCAAATTTTCCCACCCATATTGTCAGAACGAATTATCAGTGCTTCCTGAGTCACCAAACTATCCTCAGGGAACTTTGTTGACCACCTCGATATCATCAAACGGAGGAAGGGTGGTCTGTCTTTGGTGGAGAAAGTCTCGATGGTTGCCTGTCTCCGGAGCGGTCTGGCTTGAAAGGAAAACTGCATTCTGTGATCCAACCCCATCTAAACGGGTTCGGATATCCGGTTGGTGTTTTTTTTTGGAAACCGATCCCCCCTATCCACCACATAGTAAAGCACTACATCTGATCCAGGTTTTTGGGAGGACATCTTCGGCTGTGATCAGTTTTTCGGTAGCAACACATTGTTGCCCGTGATTCTGAACAACCGTGGAGATCGTTCTAGGCGGGTGGTAAATGAAAGGGAAAAGGTACGTAGTGCCATAATATCCTCTATAATTCTCTCCGGTTTCCTGTTATCACTTTACAAAAAACCTTAAAACTTCAGTTATCACTTTACAAAAAACCTTAAAAACCTTAAAAACTTCAGATTGGCGGGATTTGAGATTTAGCAGTGTTGATCTCGTATAAAACGCCTTATTAAAACTTGGAAAAATACTACCTGGTGTTGGAAATTTCCTACTCTAAATCTTCGCACGCACTACCTACATCGGCCGGTTTTTGTTGGTACCGTCAGATTAATGTTACAGTGTTCCTTTTTCAGGAAACATCGCTGTAAAAGATATTTTTTGTTGAGATGGTTCATCCTTGCTGATTGTCCTAAAAAGACTCTCATATTCACATGATAATCCTTAGGAACTCTGATGCATTCGGAAAATAAGGATCCTAAGACACGATCTTTGGGGCCATGGTCACTCCGAGGTGAGAATTCTGTCCTCACTATAGCAGTTGGTCTTATCGTCAGTCGCTGACCTGTCCATGCCTGACGGCCTCCACGTGGAACTTGTTAGCGCCTTTGTGGTCACCAGTAACTGACACATCCCAGTGGGATTGGTGCAGTGGCCTCACATCTGCAGGATCATGATGTGTAACCGGACTGCGAATCCCGTAACCTAAAAACTCGCTTAATAGTCAGCAAAATTATATACCCTTACGGGATTTCGTGTATATATTGTCACCCTACTCACTGCGGGCTTGGTTGAGAGTCGTTTTCTCGGAACCTGGAAGTAGATGAATTACGAGGTGAATAGCAATTCTCGGATAACGAAGTCTAAATACCAAGTCGATCATTGCTGTTCCCATGTACATTCTTACCTTATCCCCAAATAGGATAACAGAAATGTACGAGTATTCCGGAACCTAGAGGGTAGAGCACAGCAAATGTTTCGTAAATCATCTGGTCAGCTCAGTGTATTCTCTGCTAATCGAACATTCAAGTTGTTAAGTTGTTACTTCCAATGCAACAGTCAAGTTAGTTTTTAGTTTATAAAACACATAGGATGGGGTTTCACATGAAAGGATTAAGGAATGTTCTAGTCTTATGATCGTGATTGATGACATCACTGTGCTGGCGGAGAAAACCCTGTTGATGTGGCTCTGAATGTGTTCAGGAACCTCACACCTGAGTTATTATTTAAAGGCTAGCGGCGAACTCAGAGTTAGATATGCAGAAGTGCCGATGGTAGCACCCTACACAGAAACTGTGGGAGAAAGTGATGTGCCTGATTCGTAAAGTACCCCCCCACACTCACAAGTGACCAGTACAGATTAATGACCCCATGCTTCCAATTCACCTCGGTTTATGTGCATGGCAAGTTGCACATGAATGTACTAAATGTCTTCACAAGTCCCATGCAGCCAAGGAAAAAGGGATATCCTTTGGACCATAATTCATCCGGAAAACCGATTATTTTTTTGGCGCACAGTTCACCCTTGTGTATTTACTCCACTCTCCCGCATAGTTTACGCAGCGGCCACTTTGGCCCTCCATCCACAATGGCGCGATAATTCCAAACACTCATCCGTATGGTTTCTGTTGTTATTTTGGGCTCAAACGTTTAAAATGTAAACCAATTCAGAGTCTGTCGAATCGCGCGCGTACCTCATCATCCTGACATGGGCTGTTTGTTTGTCGCTGTAATTAGTTACTAATCACTCAGTACTGTACTACACACGATTACGTTAGGAAATGTTTGGCAGTTGCGACCACCTGGTACGCTGTGTGTGCTACGATAACCCTATGCTTGATAATTTGAAATTTCACTCGACGCCGCAACTGCCACAATTCCTACTGAGATCTTAACCATCTGTCCAAGGATTTGGTGTTTTATAACCATCGATATAAATTAGTCATTCCAGCTTCAAGTTTGACCAGGAAGTACGGCTTGGCACTGGAGATGTGAGGTATCTGAGTATTCGAACCAAGTTTTTTGTTTAGAGTCGCTTATTCGAGGCGGTCATTGGGCTAGACCCAGCTGAGTAGCTGAAGCGAGCGCTACCAACCGGAAGGTCTGTGATTTAAGTTCAAACCTGGCTTTTCAGTTGCTCCTCTTGGGGCCAAGGCAGTCTGGCAGCATCCCAAATTTTGCGCATCTTTAGGCTCAAAAGGGTGCGAATTGTCCCATTTGGTTTTAGTGGGTTTTTCACAGCCAGCTGAACTGGAGATTCTCACTTAGAAGTAGACAAAATCAACAACAACGCTACCGCAGTTGCGTTTTCATTGAGTTTCTCTCTGTCTTATCTGTTTGATGAATCGGTCGTGTATTTAGCAGGGCAACAAGTTCCATTACCATTATCTCCATCCTTATCCTGCTTGCTGCCGTTTACTCTGGGAACCAGTGATCCCATGATTACTGTGTGTGGATTTCAGGGTTTCATCACTACGGTATTGCTAGACGGATGTTTTGTAAGCGCTGGAATCTTTCTACCGAAGCATCTATGACCTTTCACATGGTAGCACTTTTATCCCCTACGACAACCGTCCTGTAGAAACTCTTCTCTCTGATATAGGCACCTTTGTCATCGATCATGTTACGTTAGTCAAATTCACCCCTGACCATGATACAATATAACTTTTTCATATATCTGCAGGTGCATTCTATGACCTGCCATGCAGGTGTGTGACTGCAGTACATATCTTATATGTATCAGCAAACTAACTTAGGGAACATGCGTAACAGAATGAAAGCCACGTGATACAAGGTGAATGAACAAAGGAAACTGCAAACCAATGTTCCCTTTACAAAATGCAATATAAAATGTCCCATAAAATTTTCATTTTGGGTTCCTACTTGAAAGTCACTAATGTCAACTCCACACTTTTCGATTTGGGAAGCAGCAATGCTTGCTAGTTTCTCCAAGTTGCTGCCTCCCAAGAAGGGGTGCCGTTCTTCGTCAATATCTCTTCAGGAGGGGGGCGCTGCATTTTACCGTCCTATTGCTATCTATGCATATTACGCACGTGCTTTTCAACGCACAGTATTTTCGTTTTGCTTGTTCGCATTTTCACCGAACCTTTACGGGGAATCGATGGATTTCCTAATCAACCCATTCGACTGGAAGACCCAGAATCGGAGAACCGGTTAAGGAAACGACATCATGATCCTGTTAGTGCTGAATGCGGCGAATTTTTACCTGATTTTAGTTGTTTACACAAGCAAGTTTATTATATTCATCCCTCATTTTCTACCTTAACTTCTCACTAGAGCGCACACTGTTAGTGGCAGCCATGAGGTACACGTACAGTAGACCGATCGGTTTCCTCACCGACATTCTATCGAACATTTTCAGAGTGAAAATGATCAACTGTTTAATTTTTGTATCGCTTGTTGCCTATTCCAGCTATCTCGAGCAGGAGTTATACACGATGGCGTGCAGTACGATTGTAATGGCTGCCTTTCTGCGATTCGCATACGCAGGTGAGCAACACGCCTGTCTTCGGCCGCTGTCATTTTCTTCGGCATCTTTGAACACGCTGCCCATTAACTTATTGTGTGATCGTTTTTATTTCACAGTCTGCCATCCTCTCCACCGCCGTGGCAACCTCCAGGAGTGATCCCACTGTCCGATTTCGTTCATGATATTGTACTTCGACCTTACTTTGATCCTTTCACACACCGTCGTAGTTGGCAGCTAGACCTGTTATTCACAGGTTTGGTACCTACCCGCGCACGGCGGATAATAACCGATCGGCCTAGGCGAGACGCACAACAATCCGGTAGTCTGCACCAGTTGCGGCATCAAACGGCTGAGTGGTTCGTCACCAAACTGGAAGATTATGCGATTGTGGTAGAAAATGTAATTGCTGAGTGGGATAGTCTGTGCGTGATGCATGCTCTATCCTATCATGTGGTGAATAATCCAGGTGAGCTACCTTGTCCGTTGCGTTTTGCCTTTAATTTAGTTGGGCTAACCTGTCCCCATAAGAACTTTGTTATGATTCGTTTTTGTCAATTAACGGTAGGGAGGAGATGACATATTGCGTTACCGATTTCGTGCTCACTTTTTGACAACTGACTTCTAAAGCAGTTAAACCAGGAGCTGCCATCGGCTAACAGATCCGCGGCTGCCGCCTAGTTGCCGATCATGATTATATACTGTGGGTCAGATTTTGACCGGCTGTTTTGAAGAATATATCTGGCGGTTATGAATTGGAGTCTCCTAACATCCACAATACAAGATTCGCCCTGAGTCCAAACGCTGTAATGAATCACCTTTCTGTGAGCGGCAGACTGTAGATCTAGCGAGGACAATCTGAGTCTGCCAAGACGTGGCGGAAATACGCGAATCGTTCTTGTTTTATTTGTATGACTTACCAAATTGCAGTACACATGTCGGTGAAGATAAATGCTATTGCGAACTTTCGAATTCGACAGGCAAAGCACGGTGACGTGAATGCTCAGGTTCGATGACTGACAGAGACGAGGTAAATTTGGCCTTACCGTCCCAAAAACCAGCAATGGTAGTCGAGAGCATGATTTGTTTATTGCAAACAGCGCCTTTTAACGCAGAACACGTCCCGGTGCTCTCCGAACCACAAGGAACCATGCACCCAGCTTGATAGCATTAACAACGTTTATCAATGGCGAATATGCGTTTAGGGTTCATTCACACTGAGACGGATGAAGGAAATGGGACCAGACTTTGGAAGGAACTCAGTTGACTATTCGTTTTCCGTCACTGGTCCAAGGATCTGCTCTTCAACTCGGAACAAGAACCGTCAAATCATTTAGATTACCTCAAAAACAATTCTAGCAATTAAATATAATGAAGACGGATTTATCCTGACCATAATCCAATCGCCACAAAAACGTCAGTGGCTATCCACACACTGTGTCCATATTGAGAAAGGGGAAAAACACCTACAACTAATCCAAGAGAAGAGGTGGATATGTTATCAATCCTCAAAGCCACCGTTCACAGCGGTGAACAAATGGTCAGTTCAGTTAGCCTTCCGCTCTAAGAACAGGGTCGGTATCCCCGGCCTGTGTGGGATACTAGCCAAGAGATCTGGTCCAAATTGTTCCTCACTGGCCGGTTTTCAGAAGCGTAGAGAAGTACTTCGACAGCTTGAACCTAGTCGTACTTGCAGACGACCAACAAGTATCTTCTCCCATAATCCAAAACTAGCACCTGATTCAGTTGATTCCTTCTTTGTAACTCTGTCTAGCCGAAACAGACACTACCAAAAACTTCATTTCACTCCTCCACTCACTATATCCACCGTACATGGATGCGTGAAGGTTTGTGGATAATGTTTCACTACCAAAAGTGGTGTTCCACAGGCTTTCCCTCTCTCAACTCTTAGCAACTTCGTAATAGAAATGATAACAGTGGAATCGCGTGGGTTGTCTAACACCCGGAGCAGACCTCAAGGACTTGGAGGATGTGGAAGGTGCCGTGTCACCTGATTCAGACCCTGTCAAAAAGACAGGGTACAAGGAATGACAAGTCCAGCTAATAAGTTTATTTTTGGATTCACAATTAAAGTACAGGGTTCTACTTCAACCTTGGACATGCACCTCCCCATTTGTTTGTTGCAGCCCAGCTGCATGCATTGTCGTATCATATCTGTTGACAGCGTAACCAAAAACGATTGCTAGGATGGGCAAAGAAAACCCGTTTGTCCTTATTTCACTCTAAACGTTAGTTGCATCGGCATGGTACTATTTTGTCAGTGAGTGTACAGTTCTGCAGTGAGATCAGCTTTATCGTGTAGGTAAAAAAAATTCTGCCGTTTTATTCAAAGGGCGGAATACGATTAGTTGCTCTCGGTCATGTGTCCACGTAGCGTTACACACACCTGGTAGGAGTACCGTGTTCCCAGAGCTGAACTACACCGTACGGTGTTTGATTTGTCTTCCAACAGTTTGATACGACACTAGCCCAGTTACATTGTTTCGTTCATGTTGCACATGCTCGAAGACCGTTTAAAACAACTCATCGTTCTTCTGTCGACTACCTTCGATAAACAGTTTGCGGCGTCCAAACAGAGTTGCTTAAATATTCTTTGTTTTGAGTCTCTGTCTAAATGCCTAAAACATTCATGCTGCATCACAGCCTCATACAATTTGACTTCGAATGGAATCTTTAGCTCAACTCGTGGGTAACGAGCAATTTTCAGCGGACTTTGTAAATATTCGCCTGAGCTTTCGCGTTTCACGTACCCAATCATCTAGACAGTCGCAGCCATTGTGAATCAGCTCTTGGTTCATCTAAAAAATAGACTAGACTGAACAGGTCTGGCTTCATAACAATCGAGCAGAAAGTTTGGTAGTAGTTAGGTCACTCGTTTTAATGAAGCGACGTGATGCAACGTGACACAACATCAACGCCAGTAATATAGAATAAATAATAGACTTGTATGATTTTCACTAAGTGTCTCGTCAGTATCGCCATATTGGTGGTTTCGGTTTTCCACTGCCTGCCGTTTTCTTCGGTTGTTGTTGTTGTGGTGGTGGCGGCGCTGGTTGTACGCTTTCAACAGTTGATTGGCCCCCAGTCGATTCACCCGAACTAGAGGAGGTACTTTGTGGCTTTTTTGCCGCCAACATTGTGGTTGTGGTAGACTCTGTACTTTCAACAGTCGGTACTGTATTGGCCCCCAGTCGATTCACCCGAACTAGAAGAGGTACTTTGTGGCTGTTTTGCCGCCAGCGTTGTGGTTGTGCTAGAATCTGTACTTTCAACAGTCGGTACTGTGCTCTCAGTTTGGCCAGTGGGCAGGCTGCTTCGTCCCGTAGATGTCGAACGAGAGCCGGAGATCGTGGTGTCTTCCAAGTCAATTTGCGTCTCCGTACTTCGTCTTATTGGAGGATGAAGCGAATCGCGCATGAACAATACCACACTGCGTCTTGGCATTGTATCCCCTCGTTGCGGTTCCTGTGTCTCTTCCTCTCCCTCGGTCCGTAATCCTGCAGCAGTGGTTTTCATGGTATGTGCCAATTTCCTTGGCTCATCCTTAGGTTCTCTTGGTTCCTGAAGTTTTCGTTCCAATGCGGCAATCCGTTCCCGTTGCTTTTGCATCCTTTCCAGTTGTAGCTGGAATCGAACGTGAGGCATGATGACAAAAAGCATAAAAAGAGGTCTAGCTACGACGTTGAAAAATAGACCATATTGCTCTTCAGTTGGAACTCTCACAGCTTGGCCTGTTCAGAGAGAAACTTTTTGGACATGTTAGTCTGGCGTCACTGAAGCTTTCTCGCGGCATATTGACATGCTACTCGGTCGAGCACCGTGTTGGTTTTGGCAGTTCGTTTGTTTAAAAAGTGAGTTTTTCTCTCGTCTAACAAGCAATAGCGTGGAGTCGGTCTGAGTGTTTTCGACTGGCATTCGTGAGCACCGTAACGGCAACAATCAGTCCTTGAGAACTCCGCTGTTCTCAAGAAGTCTTTTGGACGGTTCACTGTAGACTTCTATTCACAGGAAGTGTGACCAAAGCACACTGCAATTATTTGCACGCCCCTGAAGACCGTATTTCTCATCAACTAAGTAGGAAGGAAGGAAATAACGTTGTGTCCACCGTGCGTCTACAGCATGTGTGGTGCTGCTAGCGCGCCCGATGTAAGGTAAAAATGTATTCAGTATATCCCTTACCTCTCTCAAAGTTACGTTCCGCGACCTGTCTTGTGACAGTTAGGTATCATGCAGGCTACGATCGACATAGGACCTATATGTTTGTTAGGTCACTTTTTCAATTTTTCCAAAGACATCGTAATTGCTTTGTAGTAGCTGTACAGAGTAATTTCTGGTCTTCAAGGTTCAAGATACAGCACTAAGCTCCATCATCATTCTTGAGTAGTGCCAGCAGAATCTACTCCGGCCCTAGTGACATTTCCTAGCACAAGGGTGTGGTAACACTTCGGCAACTGTAGGAGAGCATCGAAACGGGATGGTCGTGCTGAACGCAACGAATCGAGGTTCACAGCTGTATGATTGATTACACTGTTCTCGAAAATGTTCTTGTTTGGGTAGATGCTAGCTGTTGTTGCTTTGATCACCCTTAATGGCAGCTTTTGAGCCTTATTTTGTCCAGTAGCTTAAACAATTTTATTATCGTCTCAGCATCACTGGTCTGTTCAGTGGAAAATCGAATCCTCGTCGGTTGAATTATATGGAGTTTAACTTCACAGAATCCATTATAACGTGAACGCACGTGCTTGACCATCACCCACATATATCGAGAACGGGCACAGTAGTAAAACTTACGGATAGCTTTCGCGCCTCTCTCTTTGTCTCCCTGACAACTTGGCCCCAGTAGGTGAAGAACAGATGAAGTTCCGCCCTGGTTCGTAGAAATTGCCGAATAACCTCTCGAGGTTGAATGATGCTCAGGTACAAAATGAGCTGAGGTATCTAGGACCAGATGAAAAGTTTTGCATGACCTACATGTCCATGAGAAAATAGTTACTACATGCTATCGGATGGCGTTACATCGTTCTACGGTGCAGTCCTGTTAGAAAAATGAAACAATGTCTCTGATGTTTGAGCACTATCCTAAATGCTACTGGCTAGTTTTTGCTCATGGGCGCTAATGTTTTCAAACAATGGGTGGGCGGAATATAATAATTGAGTGTATGTAGAACGGACCTCTAACATCGAAACCAACCTGATTATCGTACCACTGTTTCTCCTCCCGGATACTCTGGTATTGAACTGGACCTGAGGAGACGCGACCGGAGGAAAGCCGCTATGGTGGACTGAAATTAAACGGCTGGTAGGTTTGGCTCACTTACTGAGGGAAATTTTAAGCAAAAAACGTATGAGTTCCAAATCATTGTTGATAGTAGTTCTCCAACGCCACAGATCGCAGGACATTTCATCTTCGGTAGAGAAAACGCTGGATTTAATGGTAGAGACCTTATGCTAGCCTCTTCAACACAGTAGGACAATCTGCAGAGCGCACATAAAGTGCCTTCCCTAAGAAACAGCTAAGTGAATATGCGAAAGTACGCTATTCCAGGATGCACTGACCATTCGCGACTGGCTAGTTCTGATGAGGGCCAACTTATCTTGTTTGCTAGAAGATTCTGGCGCGTTGTATCTACACAATAAGACAACCATAGGAACGGGGGTGTTAGAAATCCCGTACTAACTTACCATCAAGACCAACAATAAGGCCAGCGCACCGCCAACCATTTTCATCCACGGAACGATGGTTAGTTCTACAATCGGTGCAGCACACCCTCGTTGATAGAAATGGTCAGGACTCTGTCACATGACGCTTTGGGACGCAGCTGACAGCAACTGAATGGGATTAACCGCTTCCAGTCGCCGCTGACATTGTGCTCTTTAGCATATCGCGATTGGGTTCTGAAAATATCGGTAGATTTGAACGAATTTATCCATGGGTTATAAAGGGCTCATTGACAGCGAGTTTGTCACTGAGACCCAGAAGTAAGCTGTTATGGATCGAAGTGCTTTTGATTGTAGTTTTACCCGTCTGTACGTTGGCTGAGATGTTGCCAGGGTGTCCAAACCTATACCGAAGGACGAAAGCTTGACTGCCAGGCAGCGATGTTCGGCTTAATACTGCCCGAGTAGCCCGGCTTGCCACACTTGTTCCAACCCCTAATCGAGAGGGCCAGGAGACTGTTTGTCAGCTCCATCCGTTGATCAGTCTGGTAGGAGAGACTCTGTGAATGGTGAATGGACATCCATTAATACGGCATAATAGGTTATTGGGGTACGCACCATGATAATGTCCGATCTTTTCATTACGGAACTTCGATACTGGGACCGAAAGTAAGGTACATACGCACCATGATAATGTCCGATCTTTTCACTACGGAACTTTCGATACTGGGACCGAAAGTGAGGTACGTTCCCGGTCACTCTTGACTGTCACTGCTGAGCCATAGATTTATATCACCGGGTCGCCGTTCTCTGTCGATGTAATCCACTGCTGCCCATATGTTTGCTATTTCAGCGGTACTTGTGAGCGGCATGTACAAATTCTAGCAACAGATTGGTGGTATCGTGTTGTGGGATGGGGAAGTACCATGATTTCGTTGTGCCTTTAATATATTGCATTCAACTGGAGTTCAGGTGTTAAACAATATAAGCGAACTTGATGTTCATTGTATGCAGTCAGAAATATAGGTCTTATTGGGTTAGATACAAAGAAAACAGCTCGGTCAGTCATAAGAATGTCCGTCATGAAGAGATGGCACCTTACTGTGATGTGACGGTTTGTGTATTAAGTTATAGTGGAAGGTATCCGTGCGAAAATCACAGAGTCTCTCTCTCATACCAAGTTGATCAACTGCCAAAGGTCTGACCAACACAGCCTCCTGGCCTTCCAGACTGGAGGTTGCAACATGCGTTGTGACTTGCTCTTTAAAAATGGTGATACATTTCCCTTTTGCCTATCGCAACTTGAAATCTTAGACCAGGAAAATCATGTTGAAGTGGGTATAATGATCAAAGTGGTGTACGTGATGAACTTACACATTTCTAACGCTGGACTTGCCACGGTCAGGTTTTACTACATCTGACTGCCACCATTCCTTGTAGGCCTCACGGCCGCCTTTGCTGCCACAGCATTGGAAGATGACATGAATGGTATCCAATGTGTCTACGGGATCCATATCCCACCTAGGTTGGGTTGCTCCCGATGTCCAGCTGATGTAGTAGTTGCGCTGCAGTTCCCTCAGCCACCTCGTGAGCGTTTCCATCCACCGACCGTACTGTGTATAATAATTGAGATCACCTGTGTGCGAGAATAAATTTACCGGATGAAGTTGACTGTTGGTTTGTTCCGACGGATTGGCTATGTCATCCTGAACGGCTTGGGTGCACTAATTTCAAATTGACATCTGACCGTCGGAGGTGGTCAGCTGATGCACCTTGTCAAGCTCCGATAAGGTATGTTCATTCACCCCATGCACTTGTGTTAGGCCTACCCGCGAGCTACCGCAGAGTTGTTTCAACACATTTGAACCGCGACATTCTGCTACCGTACCTATTCACTGACTTGAAATCTTAGACCAGGAAAATCATGTTGAAGTGGGTATAATGATCAAAGTGGTGTACGTGATGAACTTACACATTTCTAACGCTGGACTTGCCACGGTCAGGTTTTACTACATCTGACTGCCACCATTCCTTGTAGGCCTCACGACCGCCTTTGCTGCCACAGCATTGGAAGATGACATGAATGGTATCCAATGTGTCTACGGGATCCATATCCCACCTAGGTTGGGTTGCTCCCGATGTCCAGCTGATGTAGTAGTTGCGCTGCAGTTCCCTCAGCCACTTTGTGAGCGTTTCCATCCACCGACCGTACTGTGTATAATAATTGAGATCACCTGTGTGCGAGAATAAATTTACCGGATGAAGTTGACTGTTGGTTTGTTCCGACGGATTGGCTATGTCATCCTGAACGGCTTCGGTGCACTAATTTCAAATTGACATCTGACCGTCGGAGGTGGTCAGCTGATGCACCTTGTCAAGCTCCGATAAGGTATGTTCATTCACCCCATGCACTTGTGTTAGGCCTACCCGCGAGCTACCGCAGAGTTGTTTCAACACATTTGAACCGCGACATTCCGCTACCGTACCTATTCACTGAAGTGGATACAAAATGTACTGGTCGAGAGGGAGAGAGAGAGAGAGTTAGTGGGGGTGCTCCGTATTTCATGACGTAGGAATCCTACCTTTTGATGAACTTATTCACAATAGCTAGTTGGAATTCTTATTCACATCACCAGTTATAATTGTTTCCTCTCTAGGAGTAAATGCCTGATGCACACTAAGATATATTTGATTCCTCAACCAGTGCATCGTACGGCACCACCTTTCTAGATCGACCGTTTTCGAAGATTCCTCAACCAGTGCATCGTACGGCACCTTTCTAGATCGACCGTTTTCGAACGACCCAGCCACCAGTCGCTGCAGACGGCCCGCTTGGTGCCATCAACGGTTCGCTTCCAATGCATCTTCACCCCCTTTTGCCAACATGTGTGGGCAACTTCGGTCTGCTTTCATCCCTGGTTTTTATCAATAATTTCACAGTACTGATGACCTTGATCCCACTGAACGCTCTTGATATGTCTCACTTAGTTGTCAAAGGGAACAACAATCCAACGCATTCACTTGTTTGTACTCCTTAAGGCAATAGTTTTCCCCGTATCCCGTAACAAAAGCAGGAATTAAGCACAAGAAGAATAATAAGCGGAAGGTAGCCAGGGTTCCTTGTCCACCGACTCGTCTGTGTAGAAGAAGTGAACTCCGCCTTTGTTCTGAATTGTGTTTACAAATCGGTGTCGACTGTCTTAATTTGTACCTTGTTTTAGAACGAAGTGAACTTACTTTCGTGTGTTGAACAAGTGCTTCAGCAAATGGCACCACATCTTAAAGAGGCCTAAGATGAGAATTCAGAATAATACTTTTATTGTTTTTCGGTGCAAACACGCTCGTACGACAGTTGAACAACTTACTGGCCAGTATAACGATGCCGAAGACCATCACAGTCATGAATATCATGAGGTGGAGCACTGTAACCCACTGACGGCGACGTGGCCTACGAAACTGATCGAACCGTGGATCCCATGACCATCTTCTTGATTTCCTCAGTGCCTGTTGCTTTTGGTGCTTCTGTTGAGCCTTCCGGACGAGTTGTAGGTCGGTTCTAGGCCGGAAATGAAAGTGAACAGCCTTCAACAAACAAGCATCTTTCCATAAAGGGAACTACTCACAAGGTTGCTGAAAACTCTTCTCGGATGGAAGTTTTACTCGACCTATAAAATTATTCTACTTCTAAGCTGCTTATTGATTGATAGCCACTCGTGGCTGAATGCTTAAGCGTTCAAAATAACAGCTGGGAGGTCGCAGGTTTGAGAATCCCTGGAGTTTCGTGACATGTGGCGCGACCGCTTTTGATTGATCTTATCAATCAAAACTCAGACGATTTCCATGATGTCGCTTCAAACACCATTGAGCCACATGATGTTTTGCGCAGTTATGTTATACTTGCCCACCCTGACTTTTTGTATTCATACCTGTATGTCTCTGGAGAAAGCAATCTCCAGAACAGACCACTTTTGATCAATCCTTTAAGATGGTCACTACAGAGCATCCGCTCTTCTATGAGGTGCATAATTGAGCCGCACAAGCAGCAGCAATCCGATGATAATATAGCTTCATCGGGAACCATGCCACTTTAGTTTTATTGGAAGTGAAGATGCTGTCCGGCCTCGAAAAGCTGGTATTGGTCTGAACTCATTGTTTAGGTACAGAAATCCTGTCTTTTGTCAACTTGCTTCGAAGGAACTGGAGAGTTGATAGACTGTGATTTTTTGCTGGCGATTGCACATCGAGTACAGTCAATGTCCACACAGTCAGACGGTCTCAGAGAAAGCTGACAGCAGTAGCCTAAATACCTACCATCTAATTGTGCATCGGTTCCCCAAGGTATCTCCCTTAGCTCCACACGGTTACTGTAACATGGACACATAAAAAGTAGATGAAAGACCTTTCAAAAGTGCATTTGCTAACCCTTTGGGGGATGTCCAGTTATCTAAACGGCAGTACTCAGTTTTACTGTGGATTCTGGACAATGGTTTAGTGATCAACCCAGCTCCTGCTAATTCAGTAGTTAGCAAGTGTTAGATTCTAAAGAGAGACGGGTTGCCTCTGGTCAAACTTGAGGGACTGTCCGATCATTTTCGGATAACTGTTTTCCCGTCGTTTCTAGCTTTTAAAGAAAGACATCTAATCACCAAAAGTTACCGCCACCTGCGCTTTTGTGCAAGCTATATCAAAATACAGTTAAAATGTAGACAGAGTGGTGGGACTAGTCCACACATCCTACAGAAATATTTGTAACTTACTCGTCCGGCAGATCATCTAGGACGAATGCGAAGTGAATCAATGCTGACGGGAAGTAAGCGCATATGATGAGAGCAATCAGTCCCATTACACGACTGTGTATTTCTTGCTGTCCAGGTAGCCAGGGCATCCGGTGCATCACGTAGCCCGGTAACTTATCCAATGGGCCACGAAGTCGTCCTCGCCAATCCAGTTTGGTCGCTAACCAGATAATATTGATCAACTGGCACATTAGGAAGACCAACTGAAGTTCGTGTAGCAGGCTTCGCACGAAGTTAGGAAGAGGGAGCAGAGGTGTAACGCGCGCGGCCTTGGAACGGAGCATCATCGATTCGCGCCACACACGACTACGCCGAACGGCTTCCCAACTTTGTGCTATGTGTTTCTGTTCCTGCTCGTATTCTGATTTCGCCGTTATCTTCATCAGCTGCGTGGCATAGCTACTTGGGAAACCCACATTCAAGTTGATTTTTGATGGTCTGAGTTGCATGAACTCGCTGGACTTGCTGCTTTTCCCACTTTGTGCAGATGAGACGCTCTCACTCTCTTCTGCCGGTTCCGCTTTTTCTTCTTGACTTGGTTTCGGGGCTTTCTCATTGTCCTCAAACCTCACTGTTTTCATGTCCCTTCAGGTAACGCGGAAATGGTTTTTGTTTTGTGGACAAAAATCAATCCACTTGGTTTGAAATATCACGTGTCACCTGGGACTGGGAGCAACAGGTCACCCTATATGTATACTATTTCAATTAGATTTCACAAGGCAGCCACTGAGAGTGATTCGTAGAACCCATATTCGGCTCACCCCTGTGTAGGTTTGCTGTGGGATTGTGGCCGATTGAGACGTAAATTCCTTACCATGATTTTTGTGTTAACCTTTTACGTTTGGTTCTCTTTCAGAACTCCATCTGCCTCGTTTTGTGTCTCTTCAGTCTCATTTCAACCTGAAGACGCTGTCACTCGTCTACAATACCTACTACATGGTTAGTTTTGCAATACGTAAACTTTATGATTCTCCAGCATTGCAATATCAAAACAGGTGTAAATTTCCTTGCTTTACGACTGCGTACACTAGACTTTCTAGCCAATGCAAGAACTTTGTACACTGAGGAAATTTGAACACATGTTAAGAGCTTCACTTCATCGATGTCATTGTTCACATCGGCATTTGAACACTAGTGCCTAGCTGGTGCAACTTCAGGCCTTTTAGTTCAGATAAGGCCTTATAATGAATAGGAGAATGAAAACGAAACCATCGGAGGCCTAGTGCTGGCCCACTAAAGAGATCGACCAAGTGGTTAAAGCGCGAATTTACTAACCGGAAGGTCCGTGGTTCGAACCTGACCTCTGCCTCTCGATTTCCCCTGTCTAGGCTTGGGTAATCTGGCAGTATCCCAGCCCTCGTGCCTCCTTCGTGTGGCATGGCAGCTAGGCACCGAAAGGGTGCTACAGCCGAACGAGAAAAAGAAGCTAGCCCACCACAAATACCTATATCCATTTGGACAAGCGGCATGGCAGCTAGGCAAAGGAAGGGTGCTACAGCCGAACGAGAAAAAGAAGCTAGCCCACCACAAATACTCATGTCCATTTGGACAAGCTGGCTAGAAAGATACATACGCTGTCGGCCATTTCTTGCAGCATCTCCACGCAGGCACAGGAGGAATCACTTGGATCTCTTCCCGGGAAGCGGACAACATTCATTGTTCGTCAACTCCCTAGGCGGAGGATCTAATGGAACCCTGTACTGATTGCTTTGCTGCGCTGGTTCAAAAAGCTAACTACTACGGCCATGTTTATCTTGACTAAGAATAGGGTATGCATAAGGAGAGTGGAACAAATTCTGCAGAAAGCTTTTTCTCTATACTGTACCACCTGGACAGTCGGTATCGATGTTTGTTTTGTAGGTATTTTCAAACATCAGATGGGAAAGTGGTACAGCAAAGTTGATACAGACAACAGGACTCTGACAAGGAGCAGATGAGACAGGAGGAACCGCATGTCTGGTTAGTCAGTAACAGCAAACTGTTACTATCTGGTGGGCTATACAGGACAGTAATGAACGGTCACGGCAGCAGTCAATAAAACAGGCAGAACAACTCGTGGGGGGTGTCAGCTAAACAGCAGTCAACAGGAACGCGAAATCTGGAAAAGTAACATTGCGAGCCGGTTACTGATGTTGAACGAGTAATGAACGGTCACGGCAGCAGTCAATAGAACAGGCAGAACAACCCGTGAGGGATGTCAGCTAAACAGCAGTCAACAGGCACGCGAAATCTGGAGACGTAACATTGCGAGTCGGTTACTAATGTTGAACCGAAAGTCATCACCATCCCTCAAACTATGGCGTTTCCGACGTTGAGATTTCCATAAGTGCCAATGTTATTCTGACTGTGCATTCCAGCGGTCTCTTGACTACTGTGATATGTACAAGTGGGCGAATTTTCAAGGTCACCAAATACATCGAATCCTAAAAATCCACTGTTGATATTGTTTTGACTTGGGCGAGATGGCTCTGTAATTAGAGCGCGGATTTACTGATCGCAAGGTCCGTGGTTTGAACCCGACTTCTGATCCTCGACTTCCCTCGTCTAGGCTTGGGAAACCTGGCAGTATCCCAGCCAGTTTGATTCTTCCTGGTGGAATGGCAGCTACATACGGAAAGGGTTTTACGGCTGAACGGTTTTTTTGATTATTTATTTTTTGGTTCAGCGTATGAAAACCCGTTATAGTGAGGAAGACTGCTAGATTTTCAATGTTTATGGAAAATCCTGTATCTCAAGTTTCTGAATGAGGACCCCGATATGATTATTTTTTGGATATTAGCTAACGAGCAGTCAACTTTCTGAGGCATGAAATCACCCATGGATCGAAAATTGTTGCTTGAACATTCTTGGGTGCTGAATAATGTGTATAGTCATTTACACGTTCATAGATATGATGGGTAGAGTTTGTAAGGCGAATCCTAAAACGTGTCAGTGGTGTCTTCTAAATTCTTTCTTGATGTTTATCCTGAAAGTATCCTCAGGTCACCGCAATTTATGGTAGGCGCACTCGTTGTTTTGCATTGGTAAACTGCAACAAGATGGTTGACACACCCAGAGAGCTAGTGCGTTCAAAGAACATTGGAACCATGTACAAAATACCTTAGTAATTGTGCGCACAGTCAACAATAATGTGAACAATAGAATTTTGGGAATATACTTGTTTTTTGGTAGTCACAAGTGATATGTGCGAAATGATGTATGCCATATGGTATGTACGGCATCATCAGTGCGTTGAGATTGAAGTGCGCTTCCAATCTCAGTGCACTGATTATGTCATCCAGACTGCTGATAAGACATCTGAAACGAAATTTCCCATGCAAGCGAACAAACCGACGGCTGCATTGCAGCTTGAGCTATCAATATTCCCTTAAGTGCAAATCAGATCGGCAAATGCTTAGCCTATTCGCGCCATTCCTTTAGCTACTTAAATATCGCAAGTAGCTTGTGATCCATGTAATATTTCGGTAGGTATCATGCGTCAAAATGGATTTACTGTTTCCACGACATTCCTAGGCCTATTTCACGCACATTTCACCGAATATTCCTGAGTGCATCCGATTGGATAGCTGATTTCGGAATGACCGAAATGGATCTCCGGAAGTTTCAAACCATGGTCACTGCATTAACTAAGTGGGTGTACGACTTACGTACTCGAAGTTTCTGACACAAAAAGGGACGCACCAGGGATTCAAAGCAGTAATATCGATTTAATCACCAGGGTTATGAATATATCCTAGTGACGGATAAACTCAATTACTCCGACAAAAATGGAGGGAATTCGTAAAGTAGACCCGAACTTCCGATGCCTTGCAGAACATCCGGCCGGAATGCTGCAAAATCAACAAGTCGATTTCACACACACACAACGCCAGAGAAAACGACAGTACCGTAAACCAAGACATTGAATAAGAATGATGTCGAAATTCACGTCAGAAATAAATGGGTTCAGCTGATTTCATCACAGGTTACTAGTAATAAACGGTTTTTGGTTTCTGAAATGCCACAATTGTGTGTAGTTTTCTTGAAATATTCAACGGTATTTGAGACGTTTTTGAGGGAAATCGAGGTCTCATTCGTGTATGGAGACGCCTACTGCCACAAGCCTTGCTACACTGATGAATGAAACCAACGAAGAATTAAATATTGCTTGGGGTGATCTTGGACCTGTGGATGGTGTTCTTGGCTTCTGTCCCAACCGTCCAGATCTCACTCGCGCTGACACCCTTCTCACTGTGGAAATACACAGGCAAAACGTCAGCAGAGATTAAAGCTGGGGAAGGTCGTGGAAACGAAGTTGGCTGCGGGCCCTCAACTACCGATCGAGGTCCATATGAAACACAACAAGAAAAACGTGGGCTTGGACAGAAGATAGTTTAAGTCAGCTGTGTTGTTTTGTCTCTCTCTATCCCTCTCAACCGTCTACACGAGCATGCTGTTTCTGTTTACCGCACTCTCTAGCTACTGACAAAGAACGATGGAGCCTATCGAATGATGCTGGGTTTTAGCCATATTCTTAAGGGTCTTCAGCCGTCTGCTGCATAAATCCTTAGTTCCTCAGTCTATCAGAGTATGTTCACTTGGAGCATGAACTAGATGCGTTCCACTGTTAATCCACATCGCGACCGTTTTAATGAATGGCCGCGGTACGGCTTACTTCAGGTCGTCGTCTATGACGCATTCTGGTTACCACATGTGTCGAGTTGAGTTGTTAAATCACGCCAGTACTAACTCCGCGCTGAATAGATTCCAAGGTTGAAGCCAAAATGTCAACGAGTTGAACGCTACGTGTGGTATGTTTGCGAGGTTGAACAGATCACACATTTGTTTCGAGCGCGTAGGAGGAAATACTACAACATTGTTCATGTAACTGAGTAGAATGTTGTTAGAATCCAATTTTATGGTTTCTCTGTAGCTGTTTTTCATTTCCCAGTAAAGCGAATGCGCAACAGTTGGTAGCTATGCACTGCTGTTCCGTTGATAGCAGGACATAGCAGCTTTTACACATTACTATCTCAACTGCAAAGGAAATTTTATTGTCTTGTGTTATTCCGCACATTTACTGTACCGAAACTATTTATCCTCAGGTTGAGATCTCTTTCCGTCCCGAGCAAGGTTTCGCAATCGCACTTGGATTTACTCCAAATTTTTCACCTAAAAATGCTACCAGTAGTGACGTGACAGTAAGCTTGACGGAACTGCCGAAAGACGTGGATTCTAATCCCCATGTGGTCATACGACAACATTTGGAGGAGCTTCTTAACGCTACCAAATCGGTCACCTCCCTTGCAAGAGTAAGTGGGAACGTTTTTATGTTCTTCTTCCAATGACTGTATTGTCATTTGTTTCCTTTCTGCATATGTCTGCGTACCATTTAACTGCTTGCCCTTTCTATAGCCTTTAGAAGTTTGCGTTGTGTCACAGAGCTTCACTCGAGTCGAGAAGGCACGATGCAATTGACACTCGAATTCGCAATACTGTCGAGCTCACAGGACAAGCACAATTCTTTCACTGAAAACGGAACAGTCTGTTGAACATACCATTCAACTGAATGTTGTACTTTTCGAGAACGGTTGTGGTTGGTATAAACCAGAACGAATACTTTATTTACTGCTCGTCGGTTGGCCGAAATGCCTACTTAGGTCCTGCGCTAAAATCCGCGCTTTATAGTGCATGAGTGACTTAACACAAATATACGGAGGATGATTCTGGTGACCCTGAGTGCTCCTGCGGCAGGTAACCACGTCATCAAGATCCATATTTTGTGGACAAGATCGCAAGTCACTTCCTGCGGTTCTCGATCAACATGTTATCAGCATAGTTGGGCCTGTTTACCTCCACTTCGCGTGATATCCCTACCATTTATGGAATATCTTTATGAACATAGATAAACATTGGAATCCGTTGTCAGCCCAAATACTTCAGGTGTGAGTTGTACTTTTGAGGATTATCATGGACTCCAGCATATCAGTGATAAATACCGGTGCCTAACTGCCATGGAGCCAGAAAGCCTTATCAGACAATGAAAATAATGGGGGGAATGATGAGATTATAGAGGGGTGGAAATAGTATGTTCGTAGAAGATGGATCGTTTGACTTGACCTGGATTTGTTATTTGTTTTTACTCTTTTTGTTGCAGGCGCTCGTCCATACGCTGCCTTTTGTGCGCGCGGTGGAACCACTTCGTGATCGAACTTTGTCTACCAATGGTCTCAAGGTATGCTGTGTATTTTTTTATTATGCAATCCTAGAGATCATGTTAGAACAACGTAATCAGCTTGCCCACTGAGTTTTCGTTTCTTCCTGTCTTTTTTCCTCAGTCGTTTAGATGGCATTGCATTACTTCCCAAATCTTGGGAGACTTTTTTTCTTGTGGCTTCATCGTGTGCTTCGATTTATAATGCAGGATATGTCACTGATGATTACATTACCGTAAACCGTCAAGCGCTCCCACTTTGAATTGCCAGTAGGAGATGATTGCTACGGTGACTATAAGTAAGAGTATGTTCAACGTTTAAGCTTGTTAGAAAGGTCAGCGGACAAACATGAGCTCGTACCACACATATGCTCATTACATGGGGATGTGCCTGAGAAACTTTGTGAGAAGAATGTTAGGTGTAGTAGGTGTTTTTTTCAGTAGATCAACACTTCTATGGGAGCAAGAATGCTTTTCTTCCTGCTGGGAAGGATGAATTGAAAACGTCAGTCACAAACTGCACAGTGGTCATCTAACGGTCAGTATTAATTACCATCGAATTATCTGATTTGCTAAGGAAGCAACTAAATCATGTAATTAGCTCGATGTTGCTGCAGCTGTACCGGACGTGCACAACACCGTCCAAAGTCAGGTATCTGTGTTGCTTTATGCGTCCCTGTTCCTCTCTCATCCATAGCGCAACATTTCGGGCTGATGAGATTTGGGTTCCAGACAGTGTTCACCTATGAAGCTTAGCAGTGTCTGCGCCACAATTCATTTTTTGAACGGAAGGCTAAGAGCAAGGATCCCAAGCGAAGCCCTACGTTTACTCGTTGCTTTGTGCACCAGACTCTTAGGTCAAAGGATCAGGTTGCTATACCTCAAACAATCCTTTTTTGTTTTAGGCAACGAGGTATTACTGTGCACACTCTTTTTCGCCGATCTTGCGAAATCCTATCCGGTGCTACAGTCCAGCTTTTTGGGGGCAGCCGGCGTCCTAAATTTACCCTAATGGACATAAGTTTGCACACAACAATACTTAGAAGTATACCAGAACTGTGTCCGCGAACTTCAATTGAAACATGAAGTAGAATGTAAGGCTCACGGAAACTGGGGGCTGCTCCGACCTAATGGGTTCCAATAAATGGGCCATGTGGAAAAGTTTTCAGCTACTTTTGTTCGAGAAACTGCTGCAATACATCTGGCATGTTTCTTTACCAGTCCGCCTCCAAGTTCAATGCACATCCTTCTGGCTACTTAAGACCGACATCCAACCCATGAACCTGCAGTGGTGAACGTAATAAGTCTCTTGAAGATTGGAGGATAGTACGTAAGCTGTCTATCACTTGGGATAGTAGTTTTAAGCATCAGTGTGTCGCCATATTGTGACACAGGTGCATATCAGGTGAACAGTTGAACTTCCCAGGTTCGTAGACGTTTTCCTCTCCAGCCCATCGTTTGGCCGCAATGTAGGCTACACACCGGTGCCTTAGCGCTTACTAGATATACATTCCGAAGTCGTGGCTGTTCACGGTCAGATTTACCTCATTCCGTTTTGTAGCCTGCCATCCATGCCAATGCTGTTCGACCTGTTCGAGGTATGGTTCTGATAGCACTGTCGGCTCATGATTTGGTTCTCATCTACCGAGCATCTTTGTCATTGCGGATTGTGCTCAGTCGTCAACGTCCGACATTAACCAACAATTTCGTATCAGACACAGTGCCCGGACGTGAGGAGACTGTGCAACTACTAGATGCTTATCGTCAACTGGCTGAACACTCCTCAACGCCCTATCGAGGTGTGACTCCATGGGGTGATACTCTGCTTAACGGTCTGGTCCCGTTGCCAGCGTTCTCGGTGAGTTCATCTATCCTGTTGTCATCGTTTCTCACTCATATCGGCTGACTTGTATGTTGCTCTTTGGTATGTAGTTTGCCGCTTTGAATAGCCCCTCCTCGGATCCGATCGTTTTGTTGTACGCGTCACGACCATGCTGTAGGCTGCCGTTCCCCCAAAATACGACCACCTGTCTAACAAAAACATATTTCTGTTTACATAAAGGAAACTACTCACAAGGTTGCTGAAAACTCTTCGACAGCCCACGACCGGTTTCGCCCTTCTTGGGGCTCATCAGGTAGGCACAGTCCCCGAGTTTCCGTCAACCTTACGTCCTACTTGAGCCTAAATCAAACTGTTTTCGAGAAATACGCTCATTAGCAAATCAGTTTGGTTTTCACGAGAGACTCAACCAAATCTCTCGTTTATGCTGTTCTTCGTGAGCTGTCGAAGAGTTTTCAGCAACCTTGTGAGTAGTTTCCTTCGTGAAAATATACTGCGATATCTCGAATATCGTGCCAACTGGATCATGAGACGGCCTGTGTGCAGCACATTCAGTTGTATGCTGTCATAAACGAGAGGTTTAGTTGAGTCTCTCGTGAAAACTAAATTGATTTGCAAATGAGTATATTTCTGTTTAGTTCGGAATGTATACCCTGATTTGCTTGTCTTGTCTCCTTGATTAAACAACACTGACGTTACAGTGTTCGTATTCAGAGCCGGAGTGGACCAATCTTAATGGGAGACAATTCAGTCTAAATTTGGTCACTCCGTGGAAGAAGGATTCTGTCTCAGTGTCTTGTCACAGTCATGTGATCTTCGGAACTTTCTTCAGGACGCTTTTGGTCATTTACAGTTCGTTCCAAAATAACCTAGCCGGATTCAAATGCGTTTGTATTTTCATTCAGGTTCGCACTGTCTGTTGTGGTGGAATAATTTTCACATCCATACGGTCACTCTATTGGGCTATTTATTCTGCTTCTAGAACTTTCTCAAGGCCTTACAGGAAGCATATCAAATGGACATTGAAGGTGAGTGACATAACTTCTTTGGCTCAGTCGATTCTCTCTCTTGTTTGTTTCTCGGAACTTTGACGCAGGTGGTGTGCATTGCAGCTAGAGAAGGAAATTGTATGACACCTTTTCAGGATGATTGATTCGCTTTTCTTCATGGCTCAATAGTTCACTTCTTCCATAGCAATCAGATCATTTCTTGATTTCAATCTCTATAAAACCACTCGTTCACCTGTCAATGTCCCGTTTTCGGCCTAAGATTGTGATTTAGATCTCTCATTGGTCTATCCAAATAGCAGCTTCTTAAGAGCAAGGATTACCACTAATGAACACAGGCTTGGCATGATAACCGTTCGGTCTTATGATTACAAACAGCTTCCTCTGGAGATTGGAAGAAAAGCGATTGGAAATAAAAGCGATCAGCGTTCCCAGGACAGTTCAAAAGCAATGTCTGTTTAGGAGGTGTAGCAACTAGTAGTTACATTGAAACCCCAGGGAAAGGTTACACATCTGTAGGAGATTTCCAGCGGAGACTTCATAACGTACATACTTTCCTGCAATTTTTATCTTGTTTACAGCTGACGCTTGGAGTGGCCTTACGGTCAGCCAACTGGCGCAGCTCGTCCGTCCGCCTCGTGCAGCTGCGAAGCTCCTCATGTCATCTGACGGACGAAACCGGACAGCACGAAATCCCTCGAACAACCAACGCGCCAATATTCCCGGCCTGCTCTCCCCTTTGGAGTCGTACCTCGCTTCCAGCTTACTTTTCCATGCATGTCTGTCAGCTATACACAGTCTAGACGTTCCAATAGCACCTTTATCTGAATTGGTATCCGGTTCTGATATAGCTGACCAGAATCTGACGGCTGATGTTGTGCAAACCGGGTCATTCGAAGCCCACTGGCCCTTGCCCGCTCTCACGACCCATGTGTGTTTGCTTCCCCAGCGTACTGGTGTTGATGTTGCCTGTTGGAGATTGTCTCTTCGTCTTTCTTCCTTTCAATCATCCAATACTGGGCCGACAGACTGCTGGCCACAAGAGACTTTAAACCTAATTGAAGAATTTTTCAATGCTCGAGTATGTCCACGGATTTTTATGTTTTTCCTCTAGTTGTGGGTCATTGTCTGACCACGTTCCTGATATGTGTTACCTTATTTTTTTCTTCGGGAAAATAATCTGCGACTGCAGTGTGAAATCATGTAAACCATCGTACATTCACTCCACGACATAAGTGTAGCACTACCTATATTGTTAACCCTTCATCTGCTTCAATTCAATTGAACTAAGTGGTTTTTTGCAACAAGGCGGCATATCCGGTTGCATATCGAGCCCAGAACTAATAAGAAATCCTTCTTGGTGAACTGGCATCGAACACCACGGAGCCGTGTTATCTATGAAGGTTTTGATGACATTTTCTCGTTTGTTTCTCCTCTAAACCTCCAAAAATTACCTTGTCGCACATCTACTGATTATGCGGATAACATTTTGATTGGTCCTCCTTCATGGTTGCTTCACGACTGACGTCCCCATGTCATTGACATAGCTCAGTGGCTAAAGCGCTAGCTTAATAGCCGCAAAGTCCGTGGTTCGAATCCAACCTCTGAATCTCAGCTGATCCTGTTTGGGCTTGGGCAACCTGGCAGCATCTCAGTCCTCATGACTCCTCCGGTTGGTGCGGTAATTAGGCACCGAAAGGTTGGTACACCTGAACGCCTACAAACACTGTACCAGTAAACTCCCTGGGATCTCAGTCGGTAGGAGATGGGCACCCTAAGTTGACCAGTTCAACACGCTCACATGACAACGGTAACAAGCTGTTAGCATAAACCACTGCGTTCTCTATTCATGGAGATAATTGATACTTTTGAGCCTAATGTTCTTGGAGTGCATGCCTCGAATTCATATGAACCTTTCAGTTCTACTGAGTTGATTTTTCCGTTAACCGAAATAACATGTTCACACATGCACTACAGTTGATTTATTCTGTGTGCGGGGGGTTTTTCAGCAAATCTCGCGGTAGATTTTGACCTTCGTTTACTCGGTTTCGTCTGTTCTAGTATCAATTGTTGTAAGCGCCCAAATTTCAACCTACAATAGGCTCAGCTAGAAGACCCAGACAAACAATTTTGATGGTTATACTTTTGTTTCTCTTGAAATGGATTTACTGATATACTGTGGAATGTTTTCAAGTTTCTGGCCCTGCCACTGCACTCTCTGCATGTCCTTGTGATAGCTTGCTGTAATGCGACCGTGTGCCTTTGTGTTGCATTCCCGTCACAGTCCATCACTGGAATACTGTTAAATTCTTCTTCGAGCTAGGGATGAAATATTTTATCTTACTTAATGAACCTTTTGGACCTTTTTTTGAAACCACATTTCAGGTGTGCGCTCCCCCGTTCCAACCTAGTGCGGTGGCCTCCTTCTTCCGTCTTCTGACACTCCCACCTCGAGCGTTTCGCAGCATTGTTCGGCTTTTACCATTTGATCTTCACCCACCTACCCACGCTGCCGTTCACATCCGCCTCGGTCTAGTTGGTTTGGGCACTGGCAAACGCCCCGCTTCTAGTCAATCGGGAGGACGAGCTACCACGGTGGCTAGTTCACCCATGGACACCTCTGCGGCACTAGGAGGTGTAGAGCTCTTTCCCGGTCTGCCGGGCGTTATTGTTCGACCTCCGAGAATTACCCTACAACTGCTCGTTTCACGTACGCAACGACCTCAACTGGTAAGTTATTGAGTGGCACATGTATTCAATGTCGTTCGCCACTGTTGCCATTGTTTTTCGCAACAATCATTTTTTTTCAAAACACCGCTTATAACAGCCCGCATGGTTCTCAACCATTACGATAACATCAGAGACATCGTCGATTTAGACTGCCTAAAAAGTTGTTTTATGTCGTTCGTTATCCATAAATATAGTGACTGTGTTTGTTAACACATCATGTGCATCGCTCATCAGAATTTATATTCTGAGCGAATAGTTTGCCGCATCGTCCCGCTTCATGTTTATATTTGTGTTATTTTTGTAGTCTAAATTCCCTGCACCACCGATGGCACAACTTATTCCCATCTGCTACGACTGGGATGCCAACCGAGTGGTCATTTTGCCGGGCACCAGTGGCGCTACTACCTCAGGTTCATCCCAGCCGGGACGTGCCGATTCCGCGCCGAATTTGTATCAGATTCTTCGCGAGGCTGATGTAGAAGCGAACTCAAACATGATGGCTTCGAACAGTGGGGAATCTGCTCTTGTACAGCTTGCCCTTCTCGTCACTCAGACTGCAGCTGCTGCCTCCACAACGTATGCATCAACTGCGGGAGCAACTGTCGGCTCAGTAAAGCCAGTTTACGGCTCAACATAGACTTACCCTAACTTGTCCCAACTTACATGACACTGTACATATGCTAATCACTTGGTCACCTCACTATAAATATACACTTACTTTCGTTTCAGCGATGTTCTCCTTCATTTGGTTGTCATTTACGTGCTATGGGAAACCATATGTATTCTACTACGAGTATAGCGATTTCTTTAGTGCGTCAAAACATACCAAATCTATGGTAAGTCATCGTGGTTGAATAACCACATGGATGGGTAGAGCGAGCGACGTCAGTGTTGACATTGATGCTTCACTACCGTACAACACATGTTTTATCTTTTCACTTTGAGAGTGGAAAGAAGGGAAAATAGTGGGTGACGGAGGGGACCTGGTGCTGGCATGTCGCAAGCATTCTGGGGTGCCGACATCTCCAATCGCTTACTCAGACAAGCGGGAAAGATACTAACGACACGAATGCCTCTGACATCGATCAGACGCCATTCCTTGTACTGTCTCCAGTCAATCCCAAGAGGGATTACAGGGACCATATTCTGGAAGGCATACCGTACCGACAAGCAGTATGATCCGCCGATTACCACTCATAAATAAATTTCTTCATTAAGGTGTTATCTTGGAGAGTCTTGACGTGAATCCGAATATGTTCTCAATCCACGAAAGTTACTGCGTTGTCTTTCGATGAAATGTCTTTGACTAGAACACTGACCAAGACTCGAAATACTGACTTTCTTGTATTCGAACCCAAGGTATCCTGTTCGTTATGAACCGTCCCCTGTGGAAAGCGAACAGTTGATGAGAAATGCAGTTTAGGGCATCAGGACTATAACTGAGGAAATCTCAGGTCAACCCTGCTAATCGAGTGGCTGAAATCAACACAGCGCAGTGGCCAATGAAATAACGATGCTGAGTGATGAGTACGTATTAGTATAACCAACCAACAGAGTTCGTGTGAGAGCATGAGTACTGTTTACCATCGAAAGGCAGTTGTATGGTTGTGACATCGGTGTCTGAAGACAGACTCACCAAGACCGAGCATGTGCACTCCTGGAAAGGCGTATGGTTGATTGGACGATACATGCAACCAGTGCTGCCTACCCGCCTTTCCACGTAATGTGTGTTTTACTGGCTAAACCATGTGAAGTGAACTATACAAAATATAGTGGTTCTGGCATTAGGTCTAAGTTCATTTGCGACATGAAAATATCCTTTCGAAATTGTTTCTTTACCGTGGCGTGCTAACTCTGGTGGCAATCTTACTCCATCAACCACTTCAATCGTCTCACTCAGGTCTGGGACTTGGTTTTCATCACTAGTGAGGTATCAATTTAGCAGGACATTTCTGTTACAAACTTCATTTGAGTGACGACAATCTCAATACTTTTGTCAGAAAAACAACGCGTGGGGTTGCTGTTCATACGATTGGTTCTACTGGCACTCAGCCAACCAGTTATTCCTAGTGGTTCGCAATCTGTTGGTCACATAACCTCAGCATTTTCGAGTTCCGATCCAATGTTACTCCTAGGTTGCGGGACAAATAGTGCGTCCATTCAAAATATCAAATCGGCCCAACACGATGATGTTCCGAAAGTCCCGTAACGTGGTCCGGTGTTGCACGAGCGTTACATTCCGACCGAAACCCAAGTCGGGACAAATAGTGCGTCCATTCAAAATATGAAATCGGCCCAACATGATGATGTTTGGAAAGTCCCGTAACGTGGTCCGGTGTTGCGCGAGCGTTACATTCCGACCGAAACCCAAGGGACTTCAGGCTCGCTGCGCACCGCGACGAGTAATTTTGAAGTGACCTCCACATTCTTCAGTAAACGAGTAAAGCAGCACTCTTACGCAGTATTTGTATGTAAAATCGTGCATATACGGAAATGTCGATCATATCAAAACCTGTATGGGCCTGAAGATTTCCGCCGGCAATAAGATTACAAACATTCGGAAGTGCAAAAAATGTACACTAGAACGACATCATTTCCCATATTTTCGTGGGCTTTTTTAGATTGCACGTGAAAGTTAAAGTTCCAAAACACAAAACCATCAAACTGATGTGCCGATGAACTGTTAGAACAGCTTCAGTATCTAACTGGTATAAACAGTTATACTATTGTTCACTGATGGCTGTTGTATCATAGGCCAGTACGCTTTGCTCGGTGGTTCGAGCGAACAAAGCGTTCGACCGTTACTCATAAGATTGCTGAAAACTTCGACAGCCCACGATCGGTTTCGTCCTTCTTGAGGCTCATCAGGTAGGTGCAGTCCCTCAGTTTCCGTCAACATCATAAACGAGAGATTAAGCTGGGTTCCGGGCGGGTCTTCCATCTAAGCCAAGTTGGTATACAATACGTGCAATTTGGGTTCAAGTTCAGGTTGATGGAAACTCGCAGACTGCACCTACCAGGTGAACCCCGAGAGGGACGAAACCGGTCGTGGGATGTCAAAGGGTTTTCAGCAACCCTATCGGTAGCGCATTACTCTGCAATATGTCGTGATATTTCGAATATCTTACCAACTGAAACGTTAGGCGGCCTGGTTCAGCACTTTCGGTTGCTTAAGAGATTCAGCTGGGTTCCAGGTGAGTCTCCCGTCTAAATCAAATTGCTATGCAAATGAGTGAACTTCGCTGAAACATTCCACTGTTACTCCATCTTTCGGTTCAGCACTAGCAATTGAAACATAATTTTACTTGTATATTAACCTTCCGCGTGAGTCGGCCTCTTAAAGGGTAAAAACAGTTCCTCTTCGCTTTTTCGCCTCTGTTCGACAGGATTACAAGTTCGTTTACTTGTATCCTGGCCATGAATCCACCCATTGCCCCTCGTGACACGTCATCGTGATGGCTATTGGTAATTCCATTTTCGTTGTGTTTTCCTTCAGGCATGGGGACTTGCTGAGATTCTGGAATCCTAACGCATACCTACTCTCGTGCAGATGTGGGTATCCACGATGAAGGCATTACATCAAGTGGTTCAGATAGCCTACTGAGTCAAGTGACTCGTACGGGAGCCGATTCTACCAACACAACAAACTAAACTCAAATGTAACTGCCGCACCAATTTCACTTCATACAGTGAATAAAATCACACACGTTAGAGAATTGCACACCGTCGATTGCTTCCGACCGTAAGAAAACCAAAGCGTTCAGACACATCACTGGTTCTAAATTCCAGACAAAGAGTGCATTGGGTGCATGCTCGAAAATGATAAATCCGTCTATCGTCGATACGAGCTTCTGGATGTGTTCTGACTTTGCCTACTCTCCAAGTGACTGGATGGTTTGACATTGCTGTATTTCAGGAACTCCGTTTTGTCTCGTTTCCGTTTTCGGTCTTTAGATCTGCCCTTTCGTTTACCATAGATCTCGCGCTCCGAGGCAGCCACATCTGCTCGAATAATTTTGTAGTAATCGTCTTCTAGCAAGTCGTCATCCAATAACTCAAGTCCACGGTCTCCGAGCTGAAATTTGAAAGGGTGATATTAAGCTTTTGTTCCTTAGATCATAGGTAATAGGGATACTGATGAAGCCGTGCACAACAAAGCAAATTTATGATTCGAAATCTCGTCGAATCTACCTAGGATTTTCATGAAACGGCCGACACCGATACACGGGCCTTCTCAATATGATTGACGGTAACACTTCTAACAGCATACAAAGCCAGAATAGGAGTAATAATGGTGTATCTTTGACTTGGTTGTTTCCACCGAAGATATTTAAGGGCTAGGAGATCATCTCGTCCGTCTACTCAACCACTATGCAACTCGTATTGACCGACGTCAAGTGGTCACCGTCGAACAGACCAACAGATCCAATGGGATATGCCGACAAATCGATCCATACGTCAGTACAGACTATAGTTTACATGCATCCATTTCAAACTACTAACATCAGACAACTCCGAAACTCAATTCCACGCATCCTCCAGTAGATTTGCTGGACCCACTAAGACCCGACAAATCGATCCATACGTCAGTACAGATTTGCTGGACCCACTAAGATAATGAGAAAAATGAGAAACCTGGCACACCAGCTATTGGAATCTGCCACATTTTATCAATCCGGATACGCAGCGATGCAAAACAAAACCCTCAGAGTGATGCGAGCAAAGCCCATGAAGGGGGAGTTTTTGGAGTGAAGAGAATCTTCAGGAGAGTCGTGGTAAGTTCTAACGACTTCAGAGTACTCAGTCTTAGTACTATGGTTAATGAAGGTATTGAGCCTGATTGCTGATTTCGGTGTTTTGTGGTCAGGTTTCTAGTGGGCCGTAGCCATAGCAAGACATTAAATAAGTATGTTCAAACAGCTAGTTTTCAACCGACTTGAAAAAACCGGAAACCTCAGAAGAAATTGGCGGAACAACAACGTCTTGGCCTCTGGTCCTGGTGACCAACCTACTCTCATGCGAGTGACTTGCGTGTTCCGGGCTCTGAAAGAGAACATCCGGGCCCCACACCAGTGAGTTGTTCCACTTGAAGAACAGTAACGTGATCGGCTTTCATGCCTTTGAAATTATTACTCCTCCTCGTCTTGAATGTATAATCCACCGAAATGGATTTGAAGTGATGTGAGGTTAAATCGTACTTAAAAGAACTGAAACAACATTCACAGCCTTCCTATTGCACGTTAGCGGAAGAACTGGTTATCAATTGTGCCCCCACATACATGTGACCCATCCAACCCTGTAGATCTTAGCAAATCAGAAACTGAAAAATAAATTCTTCTGTTTCACTTCAAGTGAGATGTTGGGACGAAAATCAACTGGCGCTTACTTTTATAACAGGGAGAAATACGGCGTAGCTATC